AATTTTTTTTTATAAGCTTGTGGTATATAAATACACATTTTCAGATAAATTTCAAATTTTTAAACCCTTCGGTACGCGCATGCGCATTGCAACTAATTTTTTTTTTATAGCAACAGGTAGTTTTGCTACCAAATTCGGATAGACTGAATTTTTCTAAGTTATTTTGATCAGTTGACCATGGCTCTAAAACCAAAATTGATTGAATGAGAGCCATTTAAATTTCAATAAATAATACATTTTTACAATTCACTATAAAATGCATAAAACTATTTATAATAATTTATTATTGGTTAGGTACTTTTTGAATATCTTTAAATATCTTGGTGAAAATCTTGGTTGCGTGTAATAACCTTACTGAAAGTCAAATAATGTCAGCAACTAATAGAGGATGTCTACAACGTTTTCAATTATGTGTCGACAATCACGGAGCAAACTTTGAACAATTTATTTAATTAATTGTGTAGTTATATAAAAAAACTGTTGTAATCAATTTTGATTAAATAATTTTATATCCATATTATGTTAATCTTATTTATAACACGTATATAAAAAAAAAATACGTAAAGATAGAAATAAAAAAAGTAAGTTGCATTGCGCATGCGCGTACCGAAGGGTTTAAAAATTTGAAATTTATCTGAAAATGTGTATTTATATACCACAAGCTTGTAAAAAAAAATTCGATTTATTCCAACATAATCCAGCCGAGGAATTCAGTGTTCCCTAAATTGGTGAACACACGGTATATAAATTACTTTATTCACAATAATAGGTATCATAAAATATAGGAACTTAATAATATCATAGTCTGACCGACCGTTTTCGCTCAGAATCGTTTTTCTTATACCACAATATTATATCATAGAATTCAAATTTAACACCATCCATTACAGTGACCCACTTGTAACCAGTGTTGGGTAGTAACGTAACGAAAGTAACGCGTTACTGTAACGCCGTTACTTTGTTTGTAACGCGTTACGTAATTTAATTACAATTATTTTCAAATAACGAAAATGTAATGAAAATTACTTTTGATGAGTAATTTACATAGTATAACGCGTTACAGTTTTAAATTATTTAGTACCTATTGCGAATTTCAAAAAAAAAAAAACTTAAAAATATAATGTCTAATGCGGGTATTATTTATTATACAAGTGGTTAATTATTATACGTTCCTAATGTTCTTATTAACTATTGTCTATTATTAAGCATAAACATTACGTCTGTACATGCACTAAAAATAAATATTGATGGATAACCAATGATAAATCGAATTATTTACATTGCAGTGTTATAAATAATTATTATTGCTGTTTGGCATTTTACAAGAAACGGTGAAAATAATAAACTTATCTAATATCTTTATTAGTAATGACTAATGAGTAATGACCGAATATTCATATGTACAATTTATTACTACTATTTTTAATAGTTATAACTTAAAAGTTATAAGTAATTAACAGGGCTCGGAAGTTGTGGCAAATGCATATTTTTTTTGGTTTGTCCTAGAACACCCAAAGTAAGATACAAATATGTTTCACACTTATCTGATGTCATACACGAAATTTTATTTTGCCATTTTTTGCATATTTATGATTTTTATTGCTATTTTGCCATTTTAAGGTTTTTAGTGCTATTTTTGGGTATATTATCAGATAATTTGGAAAATAACCACATTTAGTTGAAAATAATGATTTTATTTGGTTATATTTTTAAATTTTATTTGGTTATATTTTTTATAATTATATAACAGTATAGAAATTGGCAAATGTAATTACTAATTATTAATAAATAATAACGTTTAATTTTTTTTTGTAATGAATAATAATTAATAAAATTATAACATTTAATTTTTTTTTTTGTAATACATTTATAATTATAATTTTTTCAAGTTAAATGCATATTTTTTGATTTTTCGTGCTATTTATAGCGCATATTTTAGAGTTTTTTAGTGCTTATTAAGGAGCTAAAAATTACCATTTTTAGTGCCACAACTTCCGAGCCCTGGTAATTAATATTGTTAGGTATGTATTTATGTTATTAACTGTAGGTACATCTTTTTCAAATAATACCATATCTTCTGTAGGAAGTGTATTTCTAGTTCCTTCGCTTTTTAAATGATAATAGCTAAGCAATTAAAAAAAAAATTATAAAAAAAAAAATGTAACGAGAAAGTAACGTAGTTACTTTTCTATTTGAAAAGTAAAGTAATTTCATTACAATTTTATTTGAGTAACGAGTAAAGTAACTTTATTACATTTCTCTCTAAGGAACGAGTAAAGTAACTTTATTACTTTTTAAAAGTAATTTACCCAACACTGCTTGTAACCTACTGTACAGCAGTGGGTACAGCAGAGCGACATCCACTTACACACCTTTTTACATTTTAAATTAGATTAATTATGTTAAAATTTGAACTTTAAAAACTTATAAAAAAACCTTGCTTATTATGTATTTTTAATATTTTTAAGTTGATATTGTTACGAAGTGTGAGGAGTCTTCAGTCTTGTATTAAATTTTCAATAATTTTCAAGAAAAAAACAAAAAAATTGAAAATTGAAAATGTCCATAAACAACTCGAAATGGATTTAAAATTTTTTTTAAGTATGGGAAGTGTTGAAATAAACATATGGTGTACATTTTAAATGTCTACGGTTATTCGATTTTAAATTACAACAAAATAAGTAAATCGCTACATGCAGAGAAATCGAGTGAATATCTATAAATTGTAAAAAAAAATTTAAAAATTTTTGAAAAATCTGTTATAGTGTATAGAAAATGCTAATATTGTTTTAGAGTTACACCAAAAACTAAAATTTATTTTATCAAAAACTGATTTCGCTTTAACATTCCCGTTTTTCCTCAATTTTTTTTTGTTTTTACCTCCCCAATGCACCAACTAGATTCATTTTCCAATCGAACAAGATACTAGAGCTGTAAAACTCGAAATATTTTTAGTGTCCAAAAAGGTAATGGCAGACACAAAAAAAAAAAAATTAATACATGATTGTAAAACCAATACATTCATCGTTCCATTCAGAATCTAAAAATTGTAAAGTGAAAATAGTAATAGGTACCTAATGCATGTGCCATGGGGCCATATGTTAATTATAATTTTATATTTCAATTTGGAAAATTATTAAGTGGTCACCAGTGTATTCTCCCGGCCCCCGGGGCGAAATACCTCACCAATCTGCCCCTGCAGAGTTAGGCATTTAACTTTTAGTTGACACCAAATAAAAAAAAAATTACCACAATAACAATAATATATTCATAATATTGTTATCAAAGCTCACCGAACTCAGCTCATGGATCGACACGCTATAAAATAACATGCTATACACACACAAACACACTCACCTATAAAACATACGACCTCACACCTAAGTATATTTTTTTAGCATAATGAAGTTCTAAAGTGTTTGTTTATAAAAACGTTTTTCCAAATTTCTAAACTTGGACATTTTGACCGAATACCATACAACTTATAAATATAGTAATAGGTAGTAGCAATAGAAAATAGGTCTAGTAGCAGTTGGCCTATTGGCGATCAAGATGTTGATAACTAGTAAGTAGGGAGTGGATTTAAAAACCTCAAAAAACAAGAAAAAATACATGCCTTAAAAAAATACAATTTAATGCACTTATAAAAAAAAATAGTTTTTAAAATAGGTAGTTTTAAATTCTAACATTGTTTATTTTTGTAAACTCTTATTTATATTCAAGCAAATATAATAATAATTTAACCACGCATAAATTAATATTTACAAAAAAACCAAATTTAATTCCATTCAACATTTTTCTTATACATAATTAGAAACTACATAACAAAAACACAAAACAATAAACTTGCCATGATTGACACTAGAAAAAAAAACAATAACCCTTATACATCAATTTAATATTTAACAATATGAAGACTATTTTAAAATAATATACATTTTCATTCATTATACAGTAAAAAATAAAAATAGCTTCGGAGAACTGTAAATATATAATCAGTGCTACAGTTTTAGAAATTGTTTAATGATATAAAGAGTACATTTATTTTGTAACAAAGTGATTCAAAAAACCTAAACTATAAAAAAAAATTAAAAATGTATAAATAGCCAATAAATCAATACAAGGTAAGTTGTTTTATAAATTGACTCTTAATAAAAAAAATTTAAAGTTCCTGTAACTGCTGAAAATAATTTTTTATCATACTGTTTATTAAGTAAAATTAATATATAAAACAAGATTATGAGTATTTTTAGTTAAAAAATTAGCTTGTATAGTTTTATTGACTATTAATAAACTTTAAATGTATTCTGATATTTTCTTTCTGTATGATTTTGAGTAAGTTTTTATTTAGGAAAATATAAATTGTATTTTATTAAATAGTTAAATTAACATATAATAATTATCTTTAGATAACTATTTTAGTTTCCTTGATCTTTCCGAGATTAAAAAATATTTGAGGTATTAATTTAATTTAATTTAAACTCTTTATTTCTACTTAGGTTCAGTTCAGTAGTGACCACTCAAGCTGAATTTTTAAACTCAAACAGAAATGTAAAATTTAGTTCAATACAGACACACTTTTAAATTTTAATATAATATTCTATACTTAATATAATAATTTACAGTTAAATATTTAATTAAATATGTAATAGAAGTTAAGTACGAGTTATGGTAGTCACTAAGTATAATAATCATTAATAATAATAAATTACTTAATAACTACAACATTTTTTGTTTTTAGCATTTGATCTCAATTTATAGTTAAATTTATCTACATTTTTATGGACTGAATATAAAGTATCAAGAATCAGCTATTAATAACACAATATTATATTTAGTACTAAAAATAGCCTTATTTATTTTAACATTATTGAAAATATTTAACATTTTAAACATAGATAGTAGAACATTGGTCTCTTCGGTATAACAAAATATTTAAACATAGTAAAAAAAGATGAAGTTTAAATCAGTTTAACATAATTTACAACTTCTAATAATTTTCATGACGAGTCACCATCTCTAGAAACAAAACTAAAACCATAAAAATAATATTAATTCATACAATTGTATTTATATAATAAACCTAGGCCAGTACTGTTGGTTAACAACTGCGGGTAAATAGTAAAATGTCCAAATTTCACGCTTTTATCAATTGATATTGATAAATTCTAGGGTATACAGAAAAGTCTGATCTAACTCCAAATAATTATTGTAGCTCCAACCTTTTACAAACAAGAAGTGGTACATCATAGTAAATCTTTTATGATAAAAAACTAAAAATGGAAATAAAAAAAAATCTGAATAGTACCCTATATTATATTCTTAAAATACAATTTTTACCTATAAAATTGTATTATTTATTATTTATTATTTTGACACTCATTGTCATATATTTACTATGGTATAACTTTTGCTAGTCTTATTTGTACAGACTAAATTCAACCGTAAAATATTTGAATAAGATTCAGATTTTTGTTGTTTACGGTTATTATCATAATAAGTAGATTATATGTTAATGACAATAATCGTTTGGTGTTTAATTATAGAATTTACCAATATCAATAATTGAAATTTGAATATTTACCGGCAGTGGTCTGCAATATTTTAGGTATTAATGGTATCCAAACTCACAAATGAACATATATTATGTTAAATAATCATTTGCTTATAATTTTAAATAGCTTACATAACTTCAAGCTCACAATATTATTAATATATTAAGATTAACCACCTTTTAGATAACAATCCATGTTGTGATACGATTCCTCTCAATTCTTCATTTTCCATTCTTAATTCATCATTATGCCTATTAACAGCTTCCATTTGTTTCACACAATCCATCAATCTTTGATTAGTTGATTTTAATTCATTAATATAATCGCAAGCTTTTGCTAAAATTCCTCCTTTGCTCTGGAATAAATAATAATTATTAATACTAAAGTGTAAATATTAATTATTTTGATTTTTAATGAAAAAGTTACCTAATTTATTAACTAATAAATAATACTACTGTTAAATTATAAAATAATAATAAATTCAATTTTAACTATTAAGGAAAGTTAATGTTACAATTCAAAATTAGACTAACAATAAATATTTGAGTTGGCTAATAAAAGTAAACTTATAGCAATAATTTTTAAAGCAATAGGTTTTAAAGAAATTAATGTACAACCAGTGTCGGCCTGGCAATGTGTTTAGTGCCCCTCGGTTTTGTTTTTTTTTTGGTCTCATATATTTTCAAATTGGGAATCAATAATCAGATGCTTGACTATTATAGTGTGAGCCGGGTATAAAAGTACAATTGTCAATTAGCAAGTAAGAGGAAGTAATTTTGGATTAATTGCGCTACTGCAGGTTAAGTTAGGTTTCATCAATCTTCTTAAAAACAATGGGTTTGGACGAGACCACGAGGGCATCGCTATTGGATTCAGTTATCATGTAAATATGATATAATTTTTTCGCTTTAATGAAATTTTATGTCATGGATACCTAATCGTTAAAAATAACATATAATAAATACAATGACATAAGATACACCCTGTATATATATAATAATGATGGATATTAGACATTTACTTTTGAAAATTCACTTAAATAATATTATGCTTATAGCTTATGGATTTGTTTTCTAAGTTAAAATTCTACGCTAATGGAAATATAATGTTGGTTTAGGGGGTATTATTCGAAAAAAAAAATAGTTTGCATCGCCACAGGATACTCCTTAAGTAGTACAAAAAATATCAATAATTTGAAAATATGGTCTTTTGGAATACCTAAAAATTCTAAAATTCAGAATTTTAATAAAATGAAAAAAAGTGGTTAACATGTTTAAAAAATCACCGAATACTATGACAATTTAATGTTATGGTTTATAAATAATATTTTTCTCATAACCCGTCGGCCATAGTTCCTTATAAAAATGTTGTAGACTGCTCAATACCCAGGTATGATTACTATCAGACTACTGTAATCGCGTGTTGTCGATTGTTGGGTTCAAATTAAAATATAACAGTTGATTAATGATTATAATATACACTATATAGATATAAATAATATATATTATATATTATTATAATACTATAATGTACATTTTATATTATAATCCATATTATAGTGTATTTATGCAAGTAGTATTTTGATTAATTTAGTTTTTTAGTAAGGTACCGAACATTTTACCTGATTATCATAATTAGTTTTGTTTTCTTCAGCACAATCTGGTATAATTTTGCTCATATACATTATCCATTGATTTATTTTATCACGTCTTCGACGTTCTACTTCGTTATGTGTCAATCGTCTTTTAGCGTCCCTCTTTAAACAAATCAGACATTTTATAAGTATTTAATTTAATTTTTAACAGTATAAATTTATAGTTTATAATATATATACGCTTTAAAGTAATGTTGTAATATAAAAAAATAGTTAATATTTATTTCACATATTTACCTAATGATTAAATATATGAAAATAATATTATGAACCTTGCTTTTGAATTAATTTTAAACTACTTACTGTCACAACAGTACGATCTACTCGTTTTCTGGACACTTCACTATTGAGTGGTACAATTGGTCTTTTAACAGTTGTTGTAGTTGTAAATAAATCATTAATTGGTTGTACAACAAAAAATTGAGCTACAAATAATTAAATATATATATATATGTATATTAAAACTAAATACTAAATGTAAAGATTGCTTACTAGCATTATTGTTTGGTCTGAGCTCATATTGTGTAATGTTTGTGTCGTTGGTTTTGCTCATCACAATTCCAGTTACGTTGCCATTTTCTATGACAGCAGCAGTTGGTTGTTCATCAACAGACTCAAGAGATCCATCATCATCAGTTACGATCAAGGTTTGAGCACCAAGAATATTTGAATCTAGTTTAATAAGCTGACCATTGTTTGCCACTTTATATGTATTACTATAATGCAAATTAAAATTATATAATATATTAATTTTCAAACATTATTCAACAAATTTGTAATTTAAAATCTAAAGCAAACTATTTTAAAATAAGTGTAGAATATAATATTAAATATGATTTACCCAACATTTAGTGAATCATTATCAGACATTTTAATGGACATAATTCCAATCAAAGTGTACTCTATTATGTCTACTATTAAAGTGTTACAGTAAACCTTAAGTTAAAAATTATAATATATTATTAATAAATTCGAAAAACTATAAACGTAAGGAAATAAATATATTAACCAAATAGTGAATAAGGATAGAAATATAGAATAAAATATTTAGATAAAAATAAATTGCTTTTCAAATAATCTTCAAAAGTTAAAACATAAATATTTTGTTAATTTTAAGTTGATAACATTGATATCAAATCAGACCACATGTAATTTTATCATGGATGAATAAAAACAAATAATATATACATGAAACAACGAAAATGAAAGTACGAAATACTACGAATTATGTAACGCTGAAAATTGAATTTTGAACACGTCATAATAATATTATCTTTATTCCACATGCACACTATAGCACACTAATTAGTAATATTGCCAATTATACATTTATACACTATGACTATAGACTATAGTAGACAATCAGTTGTAGTGTGACCCCCGGTGGGGTCCTCGGGTCCACTTCTTGAGCCATATACCTAATAATGAGTGGGTATTGTACTACCCAAATAGTGTGTGTGTTTGACAAACGTTGAAAACAATATACGAACATTCTTATATTATGGACTAAATTCTCAAGTATACATCGAAACTATTTCATAACGTCCATCGGTACAAACGTTTAGATTATGTTTGATAGAGTGCTAAAAATTTAGGCAGGTCATTATCGCATAAACGAGTTAAAAAGTTAAGTAATTACTTAAACGGTTACTTTCTAAAGTTAAATTTGTTCCTGTGTTATGCAGTGATGCATGATTTAATTAATTTTATTATATTATCTTGAATAATTTTTTTCCAAATTGAAAACCCCAAGGATTTAAAGCATATTTTAATTTGCACACTTTTTGTATTTTAAAAATAATTAATAATAGGAAATTTTAAATATTATTTATAAATTATGATGTCGAAATGTTAATATAATGTAGATAGGTATTCTAAATAAGCATCTATTAAGACTATTTAATTGTAAATTATACTGTTAAAGTATTTTGCATTATTTCTGGACTCTATAATAATAAAGATCAAAATAATGTATATAAATACAAATTTAATATTTATTCTTATGTATGTAAAACAGTAAAACGAGTTGACAAGGTATATAATGTAATTAGATTTAAATTATAAGTAATAACTTTTATAACATTGAACAGGCTTAATTTTGATAATTAAAAATGATGTAACATTATATGTAAGCTTTGGGTAACATACTCATTTTACCAATTATAGAGAGGGCGGTAATAAATTATCCTGATGGTAAACTCTACCGAGTCAATATAATATTTACTTGAACAAAATATTTAAATATGTACTCCCCTGAGTTTACATAATGTTTACCTGAGGCGTAATGTGTAAACTCTTCACAGTTGTTTTAAACATTATAACTACACTATGAATCGATTTATTTAGACCTTTAGTACTAATTAATTTATATTTATATTTATTAATGCCCTAACAGTTTTTCAAACTGAAGTGTAAATAAATATTCAATGTTACAATAAACAAAATAAAATAAGTAAAACGAACCTTAATTTTCTTTAAATCTATATGTTCGGACTATCATAAAAATTAAATTTAAATGTTTAGTATTATAGCTCACAGTAGCTAAACACATTGATTTTGATTATTATACAATTTACTTTTTTTTAATTAAATTTAGTAGTACTAAAGTAAATCTGGGAGAGTTTACATGACTCCCCCAGGTAGTGCTGAAGTAGACCCAGGAGTTACCTAAGAGAGACCTTAAAATGATTGACAGTGTATTATACTAAGCATAATTCTGGATTCATAAAAAAATAGTAACAAATAGATAGGTGCCCACATTTTTTTATTACCAAAAATACAATGGAATGAAAAATAACAAATAATACATAAATATTAAGTAGGATGAACATTCATCACATATTAAAACATAAAATACTTTAGAACATTCATTAAATAACTAATAAAAAAACCAACAAATTATCACCAGATTACGAAGAAATACATGGGGTTCAAATATTATAGGTCAATCAAGTTATTAAAGATACTGTTTAAATGTAATGTGTAGCAATCAATATTTTCATTTCATCAGAGCAGCAACCACTGCCTTTGCATTCAGTGACTTGAGATCTGTATATGTCTGACCAGTTCCCACAAATACTATTGGCTGACCTGTGATGTATGTCATTGAAATAGCAGCTCCAACCTAGAATGAAATTATTTTTATTGTTATACTAATTAGATTTTCCATTATTATAAAAACTAAAATTAATTAAATTACCTTATCGTCAATTGTGTCAAATTTTGTGAGCACAATACCATCAATCAAATGTGGAGTAACTGAAGACGAATAATCGGCTAAGGCTTGATTAAATTTTACCAGCTGATCAACTGCTTCATTGCCAACCAATGCTTCACCAACAAATAATACCATGTCAGGTTCATTCACTTTAATTAACTAAAAATCAACATATAATAAATATTTTGAACCGCATTAAAATGTACTTAGCATTATAAAGTTTTAATTTGTTAATAAATTACTTTAGTCAAAGCTCGCATTAATGGTTCGTTATCTTGCATTCTTCCAGCTGTGTCGACAAGAACTATATCATACTTGGCTTCTTTGGCGTGATTTATCGCTTCCATAGCAATTCCAGCTGCATCCTTTCCTGTAATTACCATAACCTTACTGATTGGTAACATAATTATTTTATGTAACCTTTATTTCTTTTATTAAATATATTAACGCATTTGGTTTTTAGCAACAGTAAATAATAATATACTGTACAACAAAAACATATTTTATAGTGGAATTATAAACAGTAAAGAAATAACAATAAAATTTTATGCCCAGATATTATTATGATAATAAAAATGTTTTAAGGCTATACACATCATTCTAATTAAAGGTGCAATTGTAGTGAAATTAGACTATGGGTAGAAAATAGAAAGAGCACCGAAGCCGAGTATAGTTAGGAATACGTGTACTGAGCCGTTTTGATAAATATGGTGATTGAATTGATGTGACCATCAATCAATCTCAAAATGAAACGATGACTGAAGACATACCATTTGACAGCAAAATATGTAAAGTACCTCATTTATAGGCCTGTAATCATGAGCTGGGTAGGCAATAACATTTTAAACATTAACCCCCAACTATAGTTAAATGATATCCATCATATTCATATAATACAGTGTTATTAAACATACAAAATAAATGTATTAAATAGTAAATACTAACCATATCCTTTTTCATACAGTTGTACCATTTGCTGATCATTATGTTTTTTTGCTGGATGAAGGGCATTCAAATGTTTTGTATGAGTTCTTAATTGTTCAACAGCACCCGCTCTAAATGTATCACAAGCTGCGATTAATACTCTTAGATTATTTTCAATCAACCAAAAACAAATCTGTAAATATGATGATTTAATAAATATAAAATCTATTATTAGTTCAAAAAGAATACAATTAAATAATAACTGTAAATACAAATTTTAATCAACCCATACTTTTGCAAGATTTGTAGATTTTCCAACACCATTCACTCCACAAAATGCCATAACATAAGGTTTATCGTTTTTTTTAGCCATCATTGCGTCACGTAAAATATCAATCCTACGTTTAGGTGACAAAATTTGTACTAGAGATTCAATCATAGTATTCTTTACTGTAGATGCCACTGATTCAAATGAACCAAGAACCTATATAAATGTAAGTATAAATTTTAAAATGTATTATGATTATATTTTTAGTAAAAAATAATATTTTTACCTTTCCTTCAAGTTTAGAAGAAACAGAGTCGCAAAGTTTAGTTGCTATTTCAATAGCTACATTTTTTGTAACTAAGTGTTCTTTAAGTTTTTCCAATACTGGCTCCATATCAGCTGCAGTCAAATTTTTTCTCCCAACCAAACCTCTAGAAGTGAACCAATGATGATTATAATACATTCACAAAAATATTGAAAATCAATCATTTACTTGAACATGGAGAATACACTTTTTTTACTATCATTCTTTTTCTTGCGTTCAGCAGCTGTTTCAAATTTCTCATCAGACTCTTCTTCATCGCTGTCACTATCAATTTCTATGTCTTTAATACTTCCAACCATTTGTCCAACAATCTAATTATAAATATTATACAGGTATTTAATTTATTTATTTTCTTAAAATTGAAAAATGTTTAGCTTAACCGTAAGTACTGCTGTAACTTGTCGCTTGGGCGCATTCCCATCACTAGACACTAGACAGCCCTTACTGCAATCATTACTATCGGTTTTTTTTTACGCTTGCAGTGGGGTTCATCTAGTGGTGGGAATGCGACAACACGAATTGTGATTTGCCGAACAGTTCTATCTTGACCCAAATGAAGTATATAAACAGCAATAAAATAAAATTTAGTTCAACATTGATAAATATTTATTTACCTCATTGTTTGTTTCAATTTCAATAGGACTATCTGCATTATTATTAGGCTTATCTTTTGTGTAATCTAAAGAGCTTATATCTTTTGCCGCTCCGCCTAATGGCCATGTACGTGGTTGCTTAGTTGCTTTAGGAGAAGGTTTTGGCACTTTCCTAAATTATATAGGTACATTTATTATTTCCAAGAATATAAAATTACAAACCAAATATTTTTAATACTTACTCTTTATTTTTTTTTAGTTTATTAGAATTCATAGCACCCATTTTTTGAGCCATTTTTAATCGGTTTTGAGTGATTAAGTCTTCCTCATTAAATGAAACACCATTATGATTAACTTCTTTATCATTTTTTTGAGTATCAGTAATTTTTACTAGACATTAATGATTCAAATATTAGGTAATAAAAATTGTTTATACAAAACCTATTCATTATTTTCTTGATATTATATTTAGTAAGTGTTATAATTCAGCAGTATACTAGAGTTAAAGATTCAAACTTACCATTTTTTTTATTTTCTTTATCATCCCCTTTTCGTTCAATCATTGATGCTACAGTTTTTTTTGATTTTGTAGACTCATTGAATGTACGCATCTGCTTTGGAATACAGGCTTGAGCCTTACCCCACTCTTCAGCAGACTTGAGAACTTCTTTGAAATTTTTACTGAATTCAAATTCCTAAGTTGAAAATAAAATAATTAATAATGATATAAAATAAATTCACAATAAAACTTTACCATAAAATAGTTTTTTCGGGCCAAGTCATTTTTATACTTATCCCTAAATTCCAATTGTATGTCGTCCAGAAATTTATCTACATAAGACAGTTGTAGTATTTTTTGAAATGCTATCACAAATACCAAATCAAACTCATTGTCCAATCTATATTTCAATGACAGAGAATCTTGTTCATAATTGTTGTTACTACTAGTTCTTTCCTGTAATAAGTAGACATATTTTACAATATACCCATAATCTGAGAAAAAATATAAAATGTAGGCTCTCTATTTTATTAAATTTAAGTTCTCGTACAACAATTGAATATAAAAGTTATTTGAAACAATATCACATCTAATAAAATTCTTAACTACAATACATTATAATTAATAGATGGTAATAATCAAAATAATTGCAATCTCTGTCAAGTATAATAATTAATGACACAGATATAGGTAGGTAATATTTTAGTTTTATAATAATTTTTTTTTAATTTGTTTAATTTATACATCGACATGTTTTAACAAAATTACTCTATAAGTGAAACGTATGCTTCATCTTACTGTTTGTGACAAAGCATATTTATTATTTACCTGAAGAATCACAGTTTTGATCAACGAATTCACCGAGGGTATGAAAAACTGACTAATTTGACTGGTGCTTTGGAAACACCAAAGGACGATGCCACCTTTGCTGAATATTGTAAAAAGGTCCAACATTTTTAAATACGAACACGGAACAATAAAAATTTATAAATTTAATAGTATTTCATCACAGACTAGAGTGGCGCAAAGTGCAAGCCATTAAAACTATTTCATCAATTTACGTTTACTTTATTTATCACGTATTCACTGTTTAGTGTTCACGTAATCAATTTCACTTGTAAAACAGCTGAGTAAATGAATGTGTGTATAATAATATTATTAATAATATGAAACGTGTAGTTACCAATATTGTATTGTTACCGTTTGTTTGGTTAGAAATGGTAAATAGGCAAAGTGATAACAAACCACGTCGTATTTTGACCTTAGATCATATACTATGGATGGAGCCACTGCGTATTATAGCAATACAAAAAGTTGAAGCCGATATTAGCGACGAGTCACCGAATTAGGTGATCGATATGCGCATGCGCGAAACAACTCGTTTAATATTAATATTATAATCACCAGCTGATAAATATGCGAGAGGTTGCGTTGCGCATGCGCATATCGAACACCTAATTCTGTGACTCGGCTGGGATGGGGACAGTTATAATATTAATATTAAACGAGTTGTTTCGCGCATGCGCATATCGATCACCTAATTCGGTGACTCGTCGCTAATATCGGCTTCAAAATAATATGCAGTGGCTCCATCCATAGTATATGATCTAAGATTTTGACGGCATTTAATGCGGGAATTGTCCGCAAGGAGCGCTAAGAAGGCAGATTCTTTAAATAATTATATGTTGTGACTTGTGGTTTACACTTAGATCATAATAATAATAATATACTACCTATATAGTATAATTAGCCATTAGGGGCGACACTAATGTACTATAACTATAGAAAATATTGTATTATATAGATTATATTTACACCGAAATTGATGCAATTGTAAAATTGACTTTTTGAACCAGGTAAAAGGAGTAAAGGAGATACCATATAATACGATTGAGAATGGAACACACAATTATTTTATTTAACTATTAGACTGTGACTATCCGAGCACCTTCAAGACTGAATTATTGAACATCTTTTATATGAATGAATTGAAGGTAATTTTCACAATCTTAAACTTAAGTTTATTTTTCTCAAACAATTTGAACTTAACATATGAAAATTCTAGTTAATCTGTTGTAGTATGCCCTACGTAAAAATGTAAAAAATGCAGAACATTTTCAATTTTAATAGCTAAAGCTTGAAAAATAAATTGGAGGTTCCTTATAGGATGTTTTTTCAGCAAACAATAAATATCAAAAATACATATGCAACGTTTTGAAGTTTAAATTTTGAAAAATTAAATTTGACGATTTAAATTTCTTATTGCAATTTAAAATCATTTTTTGTAGGGACTCTATAAATATAAAATTAATTCTGTTTAATACCTATTGCATAGTTACATAACATACAATTGTTTATTATTTATTATTTATTTAAAGTGTTTTTTTAATTACTTACCGACTTACCTACCTACCTAGTTATTTAAGTGATGTTATTATTATATGTAACTATATTCATGTAAATGTCGTTAACTATATATAGGCTTCACTGTAGGGATTACAAATAAGTGGCACTCTAGCCATGCCTAGCAAGGGAGAAATTTTCGATGGCACTCGAAAGACTTTCATGTGTCTTTATATATTTATATACCTACCTTGTAAGCAACAGCGAATATTAACCAGACATAATAAAATCTTTTAAGTAATACGAACTAAAATGTTTCTAACAATCAATAAAAGTTGATTTTTTAATAACTTTTTTCTACATTATCATCCTTTTTCATTTATAATTTGTAAAAATTCTCTATGTTAACAAATATAATTAGTGTCACGACTGAATTTATTTTTCATTGTGTCACAAATTGGAACGTTGAACAAATCCTATTTTCCATCCATGGGCTATAGGAATTGATTTTAGTTTACAGAGAGATTCATTATCTAATATTATATAAAAATCTCGTATCACAATATGGAAAATGTATGACGCCGCGAAACTCCTCCGAAACGGCTTGACCGATTTTCATGAAATTTCGTGTGTATATATTCAGTAGGTCTGAGAGAGTGAAGTTAACTATTTTTCATAGCCCCTAGGTCCAGCCAGTGGAGGTTCTAAAACTGGAAATTTTTGTTTATAAATTATTGTTGCTATGGGTTTTAAAGCTATAATAATAATAATAATAATTATTGGTTGCCATTGGTTAATCGTTAGTTAAATTATTAATGACGTATTAGTATTTTATTTGTATATTGATTAATCAAGCATGCATTAAATCGGTTTGTGGAATATTGCCTACCAATATGTTGCACTTATAGCCGCTCATCGGCGGTGTCCATAATCCACCTTATGTCCTCATACCTACCTGGGTAAACACTGCCAGGGTTGCTGAATTGCACTTACTGTTTAGACTTGCGAGTTACATCAAAAAGAATTTGAACAATCACAATTTTTTAAAGAGTCGACATTTTTAAATGGCAGTGAAGTGCACGGGATCAGCTAGTAATTATATATAATAGTTAGGAATTACGATTAATATAGAGGAATATATAATATAGGAATATATTATACAATGATATCATTATTTTATTTATTTTATTATTTAACTTAAAACTAAAAATATTATTAGCAATTTATTATTCTACACAAAAAGACATAGTTAAAAAAATATATTATACATATCCTTGCGATACTCGTAGTATGCTATTATTTTTATATGTATATCATCTAAACCTAAGAATTGTAAAATTAAAAATATGTTGGTAGATACTTTCAACTTTGTGAAACTATACTACCGTTATTTCCGATCTCCATTATTTTTTGACCCTCATTATAGACTATACTCCTTACATCACAGTGTAGTTATAATTATTTTTAAATTATTTAGCATTATTTTAAATAGCTTTATTTCATAAATAAGTAAAATTAAGTATGGTAGGTACATTAGGTGTGGCTAGGGTTACCAGATGTTCGGTACAGCCTGTAGCCACTCTGCGTATACAAATGGTTGTTGTGGTGATAGGAAACTCAGTCACCATGGAATTTAATTGTTGTACACAAACAACACAAATTTTTCAGTCACAACATTATAGTTTGTTGGGTAACTTTTAGTTTACTTATTTAAAATAACTAACTTACATTAACCATTTAAATAACATATTTAAAAAATTAAATGTACACAATTTAAAAATACAACATAATTACTTATATTTTTTATTTATTATTCATACCTATCTTAATTATAGTTGTTTAATCATTTTATCAATAAATACAAATTCTTTTAAAATATGTAGTATCTTGTAATAAATGATTAAAAATAATTATGTCAGGTTTGAATACTGTAGTACATTTATGCAAAGAAGTATTTGATGAAAAAAGTGAACCAACACAAATCGGTAATGTATGTGATATATAGATATTATGTTGTAGTAATTTAGTGAAATCTAACTTATCAGTTTTTCACACAAAATTTATCATTTCATAAATTAGATATTTTATAAAATAGGTATAAAGCATCTCAAATTTGAGATTGTGTAATATTTTTTTTCAAATTTCATTTCAGGCCATTCGCTTGGTCACTTTATGCAACACAATTTATATTTTTTGTATTTATTTATTTTTTTATTAAATGTTGGAATTTTGTCTTACAAAAGTTGCCGCTTTTAAAAGCCTATATATTTCTATTAGTTAATTTACTGCATAAAATCCAGTGTATGCTCCTCGGTATATACCTACTCAAAATACGAGGTTTAACTATTAATGCACTAAATTCAAAAGCGTTTGAAAAAATTGTCCTTCTTTTTTTATTTTAGAAGCTACACAAAAAAAGAAACAGGAAAACAATTGATTACAATGTAATATCTACATCCTAAATAATAATTTCCAAAAATCTTAATCGATTTTTTTTTTTTTTATATTTAATTAGTTTTCTTATTCAGAATATTATGGAACAACGAGATTTTGACAATCATACTTACTTTTTTGGTAATAACAAAAAAAAAAAACTGGAATACAAATATACAATTGATGTTTTTCAAAACTTATAGTAGGATCTACCTATATCTTCAATCAAAATTTCAAAAATCTTTTTTGTTAGTCGATAGTAGTTTTTATTCTGATTATGCATAAACAATGTGAAATGTACGGATACTTTTACGTAGTTTAAAAGTTACAGCCGTTTAAAATTATTATTTTTTATTATTATGCCAAATCATATTCAAAATTATAATATGTTCTCAAATTTGAATAAAAATTTCAAAAAGCGTCAATTTTATGAATTTGTTCATATTTTAAGAACTTTAAATAAATAGTTTCAATATCATTTAAACGTTGATTTCACTATATTGCTACGACGTATCTATATAATATTATGTACTTATGTTGTATATCATTAGTGGAAATTATATGGTATCTAATTTTTAAATTATTTATAGAGATTGAAGAACATGCGTCACGATTAGGAATAGACATAGTGAAAGAGATACATCTTTTGAGTATTGCTAAACAATGTTTACTTGAACCATTGCCTTCCAATTGGTTTCCTTGGTATTTTTTTTTTAAATAGTATAATAATATATTCATAATAAAATCAACAATTATTAATATCATTATTAAGATTTATTTAGGTTTATTATGTAATTATTTCATAGTTATATCGAAAAAGAAAATAAGTATTTTTACTATAATAAACAAAGTAAAATATCTCAATGGGAACATCCTGTAGATGAATATTACAGACAGATAGTCGAAAAAACACGTTCAGAAGATTCGTCAACTGGTAAATCAAAATAAAATATCCTTATTCTTTTTTATTGAAAATGTAGTCAATAATAGCCAAAATTTGCCAAATAAAAATATACGATGTTAATTAGTTTTTTTTGAACATTATAAAAAATATATACCTAGTCAATAGTCACATAGGTACCTATTATTATTAATTAGACAAGCAGTAACTATCTTAATGTTATTAAAATTTATAGGTCAAGACATATCATTAAACGTAATACTAGACGAAGACAATTTTCTCGACACTATTATGTACAATCATACAAGAAATGTAAGTATTAAAATTTCTATAGAGTCTAAAAAAATTCCAAGTAACCCACCTAGATGTCTGACTGTCTGAGGAGAAGTGCAGGTGTAGGTATCTCCCATAATAAATTATTTACAAGTTACAAGCTTTCTATATGGGTGCTACAAGCCGCTACCCCACTACCTATTCCCCACTACGGTCTTGAATCACATTTTCACAATTTATTAATTGTGCTACTTTGGTATACACTATTATTATGTAAACAGATTGTAAATTTACTATGTTTTCACTAATAACAAATAAAATATAGGTATTACAATTTATACTATTATAAATATAATTAATACAGTGTAACGCGTGATGTGCATAATATAGTATTAAATATTTAAATGTACTACTTTATACAGGTTTTGTGGACCTATTGATATCTATAAAATATAATAATATTCTGTGTAATACTCGAAATTAAATTATAAAAATATGATTACTTAAAAAGTAAAAACAAATCTTAAACGATTACGATTATTGAGGTTTTTACCACAATTTAAATTTAGCTTACGAATTTATAATTTATTAAGACTGAAATAAAATACATTACCTACTGGAAACTGATACTTACACCCATTTCAAACAAATTTGTTTTTTGTTATTTATTTGTAATTCAAATTAGTTTGGTTAGTATTATATAGGTAATAGTGATTTTGCATTTGGATCGATCATTTTAAGATTTTTCAAAAATCAATGTTCCACATTTTTAGGCTCTCCGTTACTGCTTATTTACATAATATTTAGATAATATAGGTTAGAAAATATTATTATCTTTATTTTTAACTTATGATTAATTCAATTTATCTTTTGTCATTTCTAAGAGTAACTATGAAAAAAAGGCGGTTGCTGAAAAACGAACCGTACGCTTTAAAACTCCTATAGAAGAGTCATTAGATTTTGATAATTCCGAAGACAATATGAAGTTTTTAGGACCAATAAAGTAAGTAATAAATTAACACTGTTGTAATAACTTTTTTTTAAATATTATAATATTACCTTATTAATATATCAGGTTAAACACACCTTTTACAAATACATCATCTACTTTACATAATTTACCTCAATTTTCAACAAATAATACTTTTGATCAAAGAAATACAGGTAAGATTTTAGATGAAACGTATATTATTAATTAACTATAGTTGCTGAATATTTTACAGGAATAAAAATGCATTTTAATTTGAAATATTTTTATTTTATTTTGAACATAATATTGTGACTAGTTTATAACTATTTATACGTTAAAATTATTATCAATCTGATTATTGTAACGATGATCAACAAAATATATTTTATTCTTATTTTTACTAATCTCACTCAGTACAAAAACAATCGATTCATTAATAATAATTATTTCACACGTTTTACACATGTCAATAATATCCAATACATTCAAAATTCTATTTCTCGACCACTAATCAGTTATATCAATTTAGGAATTTGGTTTGACCACTAAAATTCTTGAAAAAATACAAAAACAAATGTTGTGATTAAAAATTAATATATGGTTGCCGAAAAAAGAGCTCATATACAATGTACAGAAGTATACAACTACTAAGTACATATCAAAAAAAGGTGCTCTGCTGTACAGTAGGTTACAAGTGGGTCACTGCGTATAATGGATGGTATTAAATTTGAATTTAATGATATAATATCATTGTATAAGAAAAACGATTCTGAGCGGAGAGGGTATGTCAGTCTATGTATAAAACAATATATACTTATCTATGGCATTAAACAAAATTTACCTATAATAGGTAATAGGTACCTATAATAAATTCCAAATTAATCATATCACAATATTCATTGGTTACTTATAACGCGTTATACATCAACAACAAACTCTGATACTATCATAATTCATAGATATATAATAGAATACTTTAGAAGTTTCAAGTACCCACGAATAATATTATAGAATCACAACAAAATATCTAAAATAGTTATTCTAGGTTTTTTATTATGTAATTTCGTCCAAATTTGAACTTAAAATGACTATAAAAATAAACTGTGATTACCTATGTATTTTTTAGCTTTTTTGATAACAGAATAAGCTACTTAAGTGGAATCTTGTTTTAAATTTTCAATCCTTAGATATAAAATTTGAACTCATTATAAATTTTTCACTACAAAATAATTATTCAATTTTAAATTTGATAAAATTTGTCAAAATTCGATCTTTAAATGCTTATAAAAAAAATCGTGCCTATGTATTTTTAATATTTTTCAACTGATATTGTAACAATATATCAGGAGCATTGTATTAAGTTTTTACATTTTTTGGATCAACCAATAAAATTTTATTGAGATTTATAGGAAAAAAAACTAAAAAAATTTAAAACTGACAATGTTCGCAAACAACTTAAAAGAGTCAAATTATTTTCAAATTTTTATGATGTAGGTATTGAAAATGCTAATATACACATCCAGTGAAATTTTCAAGTATCTACAGTCATTCGTCTTTTAATTACAACAAAATAAGAAAATCGTTACATGACAGACACAAAAATTAAAAAAAAAAAAACAAAAAAAAAACACACACATCATTGTAAAATCAATACATTCATCGTTCCACTCAGAATCTAAAAGTATATAGGTACCTAGTACAGTAGTACCTACCTATTTAGGTTTCAAATATTCCTGGCGACATTGCCTTATAAGTTATAACAAACCTTTATTTCACGCTTGTAAATTGTAATAAATTGGTTCTTATTTATTATATGTTAAGCCTTGATTATTATATTCTAGCTAGTCGAAGTGTACTTTCCAAGTACAATATATTACCAAGCAAAGATGAATTGTCCAGAAAGTCTGAATTAGGTGAAAACAATAAAAAGTCAAACGATGATGAACCATCTATGAATTTGGATTATAATACAGGAAAAGAAAATTTAAGAAAAATTGATATAACTTTAACGGAATCTTCTGATCGATCAGAAAGTACTTCATCTGAAATCCAAACTGACAATTTGAACAGCGACTACGAAGGGGCCGGTAATATACATCAGATTTATATAATAATATTTCTGTTTATATAATATATCTTTAACCTATGTGCGTGTTTTTAATTATATTTATGTTATTCAAAATAGACCAAAAAGAAAAAGATAATATTGTAACAACAGTTGAATTAAATAAACACCACGAGAGAATCGATGCTTTCAATGATGATAGGAAATCTGCAATCGATCATTTCAATAAATTTCAATCAACAGGAACTACAAAATTGTATAATGCTAAAAAGGATGATTTGGTTAGTGACAGTGGAAATTCTACAGCAAAAGATTCGAAAATAATACAATCATCAGTAGCTTCTAGTAGTTTTTCTGCAACTAAAAGTAAAATGGAAGAGATAACCCAACGATTTCCACTCAATCAATTTTCAAATGAAACAAAATTATTCAAGAGAAAACCAATAGAAAGTGATGAAGGTATTTTTGACGTAAAGTCTAATTGCATAAAAACTAAAGTTGAATCAGAAAACAATTTGAAAAACGAGAAACCAATATTATTGGATGATGCACGTATTCAAGTTATAGTTGAAAAGCATTGCGATTTAATGAAAAATAAATTAGAAGATACAGTTAAAACAAACCAAAACATCTTAAAGTAAGAACTAACAATTAATTAAATATATTAAGGTGATATTTATAGGACAGGTATATAATTGTTATTAAAACTATAACTACGTTGTTATAATAATAAAAATATGTATATAAGCAGTAAAAATGTACCTTGTACCTATAGATAAAATATTATCTATTTATGTTTAATTATAATTATAACCAAATTACAATAATGTTGTGTTTCAGGGAAGAATTGATTAAAAAGATTGATGACTTTATTCATACACAAAATGATAATTTTGAAAAACAGATTGAAGAACGACACAATGAGCTTTTTACTAAAAATGAATTACAATTTAAAGACATACTAAAAAATGTGTGAGTATAACTTTTATTGGGAAAATATTTTATAATGTATTTATTTCCAGTATTACCTTTTTAGAGTATGTTTTATTATTCTATTATTTTACAATAGAATCTTCAACATTGACACCGGTCAAATGTAAGAAATGTCCAATAAATTGTCTAAATAATAGGGAAAACTAATAAAAATGGGAAATTTTAAAATATTTACAACACCATTTTTCAACGAAATCTCAAATTGTTTTAAATTAATTTTTATTTGTAATTCAGTTAGGGATAACTTAAGAAACTTGACCTTTTCTCAAAATATTTATAATAGCTGCATATTGTTGACATGATAATATAATCTAAACATATTATTAATTTTGTTATTTTTATCCAGGCAAGAAAATACTGGAAAGGCCTCAATTGAAGAATATGATAAGAAATATATTCAAAATGTTTCAAATATTGAACAAATGTATGCAGAACATTTACAAAAATTTAAAAAAGATTTAGAGGACTATACAGATTTATTTAAACATAAAATACAGTCGGAACTTGATGAAATATCGAACGAATTAAAAAAGAATTTCTCTAAAAATACCGAAGTAATAACCAATGGTTGGAACCAAACATTAGGATCATACAAAAACGTCGAGTTGGAAAACGTAAAACATAAGTTTAAACAAACTACAGAAAATATTAAACTTGATATGGAGGAGGAAATACGGCAGTTTCATATAAAATTCCAAGAAAAACTCAAAGTTTTATCCGAAGATAAATTAAATAGTGTTGCTGAACAATTAGATGTAGCTTTGCGAGAAGAAATTAATTTAGTTAAACAACGTGTCAACGAAAATTCCGAATATGAAATAAATAATAAAACTACGAAACATAAAACACAATCAAAATTATACAATGATTGTTTAGATCGTGCAGGATTGAATTTAGAGTAATTACCGCTCGCTAACAATATTTTAACTTACCTATATTGGATATATTATTATAAGGGATGGATCAAACTTGAACTATTACTAACTCAAAGTTAATTTTTTTATCGAACTTGAATCTCATTTCAACTTTTACATTTTTTAAAATGTAACCATAACTAACTGTCAATTATAATACATAGTAGGTAGTAAAAAACATTTTGATTTTTAAGTTAAGTGTTTAACTTTAACAAGCAACTTGACGAAAATAAGAACAAATTAATCTGCTAACATACATTTCGAACTTGATTATGCTTGAACCACCATTTTTCTCAAACTTTACAGTTAAAATTTTTTAAAGTTCAAGGGTTCAAGTATCCATTCCTAATTTAAAATTAGTAAACTCTATAATTAGTATTTAATTATTATAGGTGTCAAACTGAAGGTTCTTATAGTGTTAATTATAAAGACATAAGAAAAAAAATTCAACACTGTTCGAATGAATTAAACGATGCTCTAAAATTAGTTGACGTAATATCATCAACAAATGAAAACACTGCAAGAGGTAAAATATTATATACAGACTGATTACACTATAGGTACAATTATTATTAATTAAATTTACAAATACGCGCTACAAACAACATATAACATTAAGATTTAAGAACAATATTGCCATGTTCTTGAGATAAATAACTCAAAAAAGTTAGGTTAGGTACCTAATTGAATATTTTATCTGTAGGCTTCACTCTTCGCATTCACATAATATGTCTTGTCGATAATTTGTATAATTTTAATTTAATAAAACACCAGTAATAAAATGAAAAATACATCAAACTTATTATCATTAGCATTTAAAAAAATATTAATAATTTGAACAAATTTTGAAAAAATATAATACCTATATATTTTTAAACTCTTCTCGGGAATGTAAAAAGTAAATAAAAAGTAACCAAATATTAATTTAACATGATGAGTATTTAAAATGTTGTTTTACAGAACAGTACTCGAATTTATGCCCAAACAAATGTTCAGTTTCGTGTCAAACCGAGAATATAACTAATACATATAAAACACCAATTCTAAAAGAATATGCGTATCCTGGTGAGTCGTCAAGTACGTACTCTGTAGGTATTTAATAATCCATATGGTTTGTACTTTTTTATGATTTTGGATTATAATATCTGATACCTTATTGCTTAAATAGTATTAATTATTAATTAACTAATTATTATTATAATCGAATAAATACTATAGCGTGCTTACAAGATGTTAACATAAAATACGCTAATTATTTGGGTCAAGCAAAGATGTCCGAAGATCTATGTTCCAACTACTTAACATCATATTCTCAACAACTTAATTACAGCCCATTAGATATTTTAAGCCAGGTAATGATTTTAATCGAATTTTTACCCTACACAAGTTAAATTAATTTAATTTTTAATACAGCAAGAATTAAAAGTGAAGGCTGCAGAACAAAATATATGTCGTTTAATCGATAAATTCAACAATTTCAAGCACGAAAATGTCATCAATCATATTCCTAATAATACTAATAGTAAGCTATAATATTTGTATATTTATTAAAACTAAAAGGTCATATTCATATAAGGTAAGTTAACTTTCATACAGTTCAAAAAAACCGTAGCATACTAGTTGAGCACCAATTGAGATTGAGTCCCAGATTCAAATGTAATAATAATTGGATTCCGTGTTAAAAATTAAACTGCACCATAGTATACCTAATTGGGTACCAGAAAAAAAAAATTTTTATTCACATTTTAATAGACTTGTCATTACTGACTTAGACTGTCATCTGTCCAAAAAATATAAACTGCATCCAGTGTCTTCAAAATAATATTAAATGATTTGTATATATAAGTACAATTAGCACTGAGTTTGTATCTATAAACAATTTAAAATTGATGATCAGTTTAGGTTTAGGTACCTATACTTATGAAACTTATCATATTTGCTAATATTTTATTCGTCAAATTATCTTTATAAGATTATTCGCCTAGTGCGTTTTGCTAATGAAAATCCGTCATTTAACACTGAATGTTTAAATCAACATTGGCAGTCACCTCGTGGTCGCGGGCATTCCTAAATGATTATTAATATTCAAGTACCTATAGAATATATAGTTTTTTATTTTATCTTTAAAAAAAATAAACCAAACAATTTCATGCTACTTAACTGACAATATAATATATATTTTTTTTAGTTTCTGATGAATACAAGTTTACCAATATTTATCAAGCTCTAACACCAAAACAAATAGCATACAATCGGACGAAACATTTAAGAGAATGGCTTTACAACACAGACTTGAAAAATAAAAATAATTGAATTCTATAGTGTTTGGTTAAAGTCACTTTTAAGATGTCACTTAAGTTAATATAGTTATTAGTTATTAGTTATAAGTTGTAACTTACAATTATACTTTACAATTACTAACAACAATAAAAATAGTAATATATAGGTAACCTACCTGTGTATACAAATGACTATTTTTGTAATTTGAATAAAACAACTACCTATCACAAACTTTACCATTAGGTCTTATTCTTAAATGTTCATTGCAGACTCGTATGCAATATAAGTTTATGAAAAACTCCTTGGAAGTTTGAGTTCGAGTTCATTACATAAAATCATATTGCATACCTACGAGTCTGCAATGAAGTACCACATTTTATGTATTTGTTGTCCTTCCTATCATATATGTAGCACATACCTAGGTAATATTGTAATATTATAATATTAATGCAGTCTCACTTAACTATCGTGTGATAAGCGCGTATATAGAGTTTAAATTCTGATGAAAAAAATGATATTTTTAATTTTTTTTTTCGTAACGTAACGTTTTTCGATTTCTAATACACTGATTTCACGGCAACCAATAATTATTATTATAATAGTTTTAAAACCCATAGCAACCATTTATAAACAAATAATAAATAACGTAACGTTTTTCGATTCTATGTGCCAAAGCAAAGACATAAAATGTCAAAAAATAATATTATTATGTAGGTACCTATAGTATAGGTATATACCTACCTTTATTTTTATTTTTATTAGAGCAGAATTTTTATTTTGATACAGGGTTATAACGTCGTAATAGGGTTATGTATTTATAAGGTTATGAAGTGGCGTCCTTATTGTTGGTAATCAAGCCATTATAAGGTACACATTTGTGAAGATTTAATCGAATTTTACGAGGAATTGTTTTAAATAAACATGCATTTAAACTATTTTCTATACTTGATAACATTTTGAAAAAAGTAACGTTTTCAAAAAAATGTTTCTACCAACGTAGATATAAATCGCCATTTAAAATAATAAACAGTATAGCGCAGTTAGAGGTGTGAAAATAAACTAATTTTAAATATTAACATTATATTACGCTGATAACGTATACCTAATCTTGTTATAATATTATTGTGGGACTTGAAATGCAATATTGTAAAAAATTATCCGTGTTTTTATGTTGGTTTTGTACGATGGTTAAATTTTTTAACGGAAACCTCCTTTGAAAACAGTTTTTAGAACGAGGTTTATGTAATTAATCCAATAGGAAAACCTAATAAGCCAGTATTTTAAATTTCGATTAAAAATTAAGGTACAACTCAATGTAGGTACCATCTTTGAAAAATCCTTTAAAATAATAAAAATAAAATTAAGTTGAAGAAATTATAACCATTTGGTAGGTAATTAAAGTTTTTTTGTATTTTATTTCAATTCAATAATAAGTATTGTTAGTTGTAATCAAATATTAATACATGGTTTCTCCAACAGATCTGATTGTCAATTCACATACCTAAATGGGGAAACAATAATCAATTTCAATTAATTAATAAAAAAGTTTTTAAAAGAATGTGATTTTGTTCACTACAGTGTATATTTAAATACTTACTTGAACATTTGGTGGTGTTCCTAAAATGTAAAGTGTGGCATTAACAATATCTTCAGTTTCTAGATATGTCATATCGGGGATTGATTTCAATTGTTGTTCTGATGACTCTTTAATTGTCACTCCGGGACTTAAACTCTGAAATAAACCATTAAGGCGATCGTTAGCTAACGGCACACTATTTGTTCACTATATAGTAAATGGCGAGTTTAAAATGTTACAATCAATACATTATTAGTGTAATTAGCACATTATCTCAATTGCCAATAAATAAAATAATATACGATATTAACTTGGTTTGCATACCGTTATTTTAATTTTACTGCCCTCGTTAATCAACATTCTTCTAATACTGTCCGTTGTTAATGTTATACAGTGTTTGCTGGCATTATGAATAAGTGCTTTTATTGGTTCAGCCCTGTAATGGCCTGCCACGCTAAATCACAAAATTATTTTAATTAATTATTTTTTTAAAATTGATATATGTATTTTTAATTTTTATTTAACTACTATGTAAACCAATCTCTATTAGATTCTTTTTCTTTAAGATTGAACAATGAATGACATTCATGTACATTGTACATTGTACGTTAATACATTATACTAAACCAGTGGCGTTCTCAGGAATTTTCAATGTTGTGGTGGGTGGGGGGTGCATAATTTCTAGGAACATAATAGGTATGTAGGTTAAATATCGGAGCACAAAAAACCCTGATCCCCCTTCATTGAAAATTCCTGAGATCACTACTGGTTAAGTATAATGTATTAATTTACATTCATTATTCAATTTTAACCCCCCTCCCTCCCGTGAGTACATTAATGTACTAAACTATATTATATTTTCTACTCCTCAATTTTATGTTTAGCCCATAGTCGCAGCTAGGTGGAGGCTAGTGACATTTAATTAGCCCCCCCCCCCCAAATAGCTTAATTAGTGATGATCTTATAATGTTATTTGTATAATACGATGAATAAAAAAACTGGTTACGAACTATATATAGTGTCATATGTGAGCATGACACAAGAACGATTATCCAATTTATCATACTGTTAAATATCGAAAATGATTTAACAAATCAATTAAAAACTGAACTTAGGAGAATTCCTTTAATATAGATAGTAACTTATCATTAATCTTTTATTTGAGTAGTTATTATTATTGAATATTGTGAATAAAGGAATAAAGTTTTTTGTATCGTGAACATCGTATAATTTTAGCAACCTCAAAATGTAAAGTATAGTTGTGCCTAGTTTAACTTATAAGTTATAAACCACTTACCTATTTATATTGATAATGTGTCCATCGTCAATACCCTTCAACTTCATCTCGTTTATCACTTCTTTAGTGAAAATACATCCAGCCAAATAATTTGTCTCCATAATCATTTTCCCGTGGTCCATCGATTCATCTGAAATCATTTGCTCGATATTCATCTGACATTCAAATTATTTAAGCCTTAAAGGACTTATTATATGATGTCCATTATCAGTTAGCTGCACTAATGGCGACTTAAATTACTTTTGTAGAGATTAGTGCCTATTAGTTGTATTTATACAGTCAATGATTATGTATATTATATTTATACATTATATCTACACGAACATCTTAAATCGTTTCCAGTTGGTTCTTACTTAGGTAGTATTATATGCTCAAGAGGAATGTTTTAGGAAAACCTAACAAGACTGTTCATGGGGACATAATGTATTTCCATGTGTGTGACCAGAGATATGACGTGTCTCCGCTTAGAATCGTATGCATAAATGCATAATGCATTGTTTATCATATTTAATTTCAATTTAACACACTGATCTACTGTTGGATCATATTATACTATATTAATATTACCTACTATACTATTATATGCCATATTATGGTCTAAGGACCTACTTATTGATAGGTTCACTCGAAATCTTCTTTCTCGACTTCCCAGTTTTTATAATTGATAATAAATTAATTATTCTCGTTCTTTAGATTAGAGGAAGTTTTTAAATGTTTGTTTAACCAAGTATTTACTTTTTTGCATCGCCTCTTTTAACTCCAAATTAAATTTTAAATTAGAATCACTGCAACAGTTGTATAGCTAGTAGCTGTAGTTAGACACCTTCTACCTGGCTACCAACAAATATCGAGATAATGATATTAACATATTTCAGTAATTACGGTTTTTTATTATTGTTTAATAATATGCATATCATTTTATACTCTTATGTCATACCATACACCTAGCCCTAACTTAGACTACCAAAGCTAATTGCGAATTTGCGCCAAAAGTTATGCACCACCTAATGCTTTTTTTTTATAGTAGGCATCTCCGCGTATATCCTATAAATACAATATTTACTAAATTTATGTTCTGTTGTTCAATAGATATTAATGGTAAATGATAATTTAATATGCTTTTAAATATTACCAACTAGTTTAGTTTCATCATAGACTCCAGCATTGTTAATCAACACGTCGATACTTCCACAGGTGGTCACAGTCCATTGAATGCATTCGGTTATGTGTTTTTCATTTCTGATATCAAATGATTTGTAATAGAACTTTCCTCGATAACTATCGACTTCTTCGCTTAGTTTCTACGAAAAACGTCGGGTGATAAAAAATAAACAATGTTAGGGCAGGTAGGTAACTCATTAGAATACCACATATGTAGAGGGTTTTGGCAAATTACTCAGTCTATTGTAACTGGTTAAAAGTTACAAGTTACTCTAAAACTATTTACCTAGTTACTAGATACGTTTATGTTGTGTAACTAGATACAAGTTATACAGTTATGTAACTAAGTTACATTTAAAGTTAAAAGTTACATTGGTAAATGACAAATGCATAAATAATTATTGATAAGCCTCGGGCTAGGTAAAATAATGCTCATTATGTTAGGAAAAAAATGTGTTTCAACCATAATCGTATAACCACTGAATATCCACTGGCCAAATTAATTGTGAAAACCAAAATGGACGAATTAAACTTTTTCTTTTGCGAACCCACTCATGAATTTATTATCAAAGCAACAAAAAAAGCACAATGTAACTTTTAATTGTAACTATAGTAACTTTCATATAAAGTTACAAGTTACAAAAGTAACCGAGTTACATAACTTATTTACATGTAACTATGATATGCCCAACCTTACATAGGTAATAATTATTAATTAATTTATATAAGAATATTATAACGTCAAACATTTAGACTTAGACTCCTCAAATACCTTAAAAGTTATAACCCTCACTTCATATGAAACTTTTACACATACACTTTTTTTTAAACATTTTCACTTTAGACAAATATTAATATTTTATAGGTAGTACGAGTACAAGTTGAAGTACAACATTGTCATATTTGAAAGATTTTTATTAGGCACCTATGAAACTTATATAATAATAATACCTAACCGTCACTTACACAGGATCCTATTTTAATATATTTTTGGATTTAAGAGTTTTTATTCATGGTAAACCCATCTCATTGTTTTATTAAAAGTTGTTATCAATTTTTATTTTTTGCCATTATAGAAATATTTTATTTGATCCCTCATTATTATTTATTATCAATATTATCTGTAATTTGTGTAAAAACTATCGATTATTTATTCAAATAAAAACTATTTAACTTCATGCGTAATCGATAGTTATTAGTTATCACTTATCACCTACATCAGTGGCATATATAGGAATTAATATTTTATACCCCAATATACGCTACTGCCCTACATATTATTATCATTGAGTATATTGTATATACTGTACTCACTACTCAATGATATTATCCAAGGTTTATATAGATTATATTATAATATATAAAATCTAAACATTGGATATTATCTAATATCTACTATATTTTAGTATTTAGTCAACGACTAATATGCCATTTAAATGATTTGAAAGTTTGAAGTAGGTAGTTATTGTACCTATAGCATATAAGTACTATCGATTATCGAGTATTTTACAATAATCGATAGTATAGGTACAAATTACAAATTGAATACTATTTTATTATTTAGTAATGTACTAGTGCTCAACACTTTTTATCGCGTCACACCAGCATGTGTTGTCTGATGTCTGAGTCCTTATAATTCATATATTATCATAAATCGTCTACCAAAATATGTACGTTCAACAGTTCAGTTTTATGTTGTTAACTTAAATAATAGAGTGACTTATTATCAAACTTTAAAGTTAAATATTAATTTTACATATTAGACACTTACAAAAACTCCCTATACAATTATAATAGCATTACAAATTTAAAACCAAATGAATGACAATGTTCTTAAGCTTAACTTTGATGATTTATATTTGCTCTATTATTAAAGCTAAAAACACAAAATTGGAACTGCTCGACTCAAATATTCGATGCGCATGTTGTCCGCTTGTAAGACGGACGACGGATCACGGAGACAACACAAAAAAAATAAAAATTCCTTAGTTGCAAATTCCACTTTGACATCCAGCTACTAGCAAAGGCAAAAAGCCTGGTATAGTATAGTAAAGCCGTCCTACCAAGTAAGTAAGTAAGTAGACAACACATGCGGGTGTAACGTCCTCTTTGGGTGGGTACTTACCTCCAAGAGATCTTCTCGTCTGGCAATACCGACGACGACCATGCCGCTTTTTACCAGAGCCACGGCAATGGCTCTTCCTATGCCGCTACTTGCGCCGGTCACGATGGCTACTCTATCGCTCCACCTTTCCATATCGCCGAAAACGTTTGTAGCACAAATACTGAAACACCTATGCCAATATACCGCAGCTGTGTACGACTAATTACCTCGGTATAATATTATTACGTATCTCACCGGACCTTACGCAGGCTTATCGATATAATATAGGATATTCTGTGTATGCGGCCAAATATATAGGTAAGTACCGACTACAATACAGGTAGGTTTCTAAACAAACGTAATAATCAGTTAACGCATTAATATTATTGGTATGCACACCGCGGTTCGCAAATTATGATTAAACTACCTACGTGTAAAAACAGTCATCCGATCGCCGAAATTCTTGTAACCACTTCTGACATGTAGTACGTCTTATAAATATTATGTTACTAAAGATTATTTTTGTAGGTCAACGCTCGCGGTCCGCATAAAATATAGGTAGACCTTACCTTAGGCACGTCTTGGTAGATATGCAACACGTGTCCGTGCCTTTTCTATATCGCATGCTGCGCGTGCAGTTACAACTAATGAATTTACAAATCCTCTTTGGTCTCGTGGTAGGAGACATACCGTGTGCGGTATCCCTACCATTGCTACCGACATTATTTTGAGTTATTCTATTATATTATTCCATCGGAATTCGGAATTACTATATAGCTAAACTCCGAGCACGTTAAGAGAATGTCAGCGCGCACCGTGTTTTCTCGCTCTGGCCCATGCTCAACATAATATAGACTGAACGTCGTGGAATTAATCTGAATATCAATTCACAGAACATTTTCAAACAGTAACATTTAAATGTTACGTAACTATATATTTAAAAATATGTATAGATAAAATCGATAATATTATATTCACTGATATTTATTATTTTAACTAATTAGTGGGTTGTAGGAACTATACAACTATATAGGCCAGCATAATAATTTTAATTTAACTAGATAATTTACTGTAATTTAGGTACTTAAAATAATATTATTATAACCTAGCCTAACTCTATATGGGATGGTATTTTTGTAAATTGAATACTTACAATCTATACATTATAATTACTAATTATAAATAAGTACCTAAACCAGTATAATTGCATAAGTCTGTGATTATTTTCTAAATTGTTATTCATATTAAAATTATTATTTTAGTTAAAAACTATAAAGTAAATTTATCTAAAACTATAAATCTTATTCTTATACCATTGATTATACTAATATTATACAGAGTTAAAAACGTTTGTATGCTCGGGATAATCTCTGCAACTTGGTACTGAACCGAATATTAAACCCTTTTATATTTGTATACAAAATTATTACTAACAGTTGCTAATTTATTTATGCATAAAATCAAAAATGTTGTTTATTTTACCACAATTACATTCGACTGAGTTCAGTACTTTGGCACAATGTAGTATGTACAATGCTACTAACACAACACAAATCCATAATATAAATGCACATATTGTATATTATAAATACTTGTACCTTATCATCTAAGTCTAAGTGTACATGTATTTAGAGTTTTAGAAATGATACAGATGTATATTACCAGTGCATCTTTCTCCTGAGATAATACATTTATCATAAATCTGTTTTTTTTTATTAGACTCACAAAGACAAGGACTTCGTATATTTTATCATTTTATTATCATTAATTTCATGATTTTTAATAATTTTTTTAGTTTATAGGTAAACTAAAACAGCAAAAACCCGATTTTTGTCTGGGTGGCGAATCCCCCTCTACGGTTAATGGGTTCACGAGACACCTTGTATAGTAGTCGTATGAAGGCACGGCCTGCAGTACAGTTGCAATTTGTCGTCATGCGTGTATCGCGCATAGTATATAGAATGAAAATGAGGATTCAGAAATGTATGCATGAAACTTCAGGGCCTGCGCCCGAATTAACTGAAACCAATAACACCCCTAAAGCCCATAAAAAATCAAACACCGCAACCCATATAACCCGAATGATTCTGTTTTCAAAACAACCAAATTAACCAAAACCAGAATTTTCGGTTTGACAATTTTTGATAATGTTATTTTAGAGTGACTATTAAAGAGTCAACAGAACACCAACAAATGTTAAGGTAAATATTATATTTACCTAGTTATTGGCATGTATTGTTTTGTATAACTGATGTCATATGTAAGAGCGCACATAATAGGTAATAAAAATAGAAATATTAGAAAAATATTTAAATAATTTTTTATTAAAAATATTTTATATTGTATTTACCTATATTTTATTATTACATTTTTTTTTTTTTTTGAAGGAATTTTAGCCAACTTTTTATAAAGTTTTCTTTATAAAATATACTACAAATGATTTCAAACCATAAAGGCATAAAAATGTCCTTTTTTTCAGTTTGTAACCGACGAGGCCGCGGGAATTGCTTTCGCATTAGATACTGCCGCGGCGCCGGGAACTTTGTTGTTGAGCCTCCAAGTAGTAATATTTTTGGTACTTGAAGTATTGCTCTCAAATGTCCATAATCCATTCGAAATACAATATAATATTCTGTCTAAGTATATTTATCATTGCTAAATAAATTTTTATAATTGGACATCACAATATTATATTATTATGAAATATAAAAAAAACTGTAAAAATATTATTTTAAAGCCATAAGAAGAGAATAACTTACGACAGTAAAATATACTTCCATAGTTAATGATATATATTATTAAATAAAGTACCTTACTGGAAGTTGTGGATAGCTATAATAATTATTTAGACATTGAGAATTTTTTACATTTGACGTTGTGTCATACTCTTGTATATAATTTAATCAATAATTATTTGTTTGATAAGAATGTAAAATATTTCGTGGCCATAAACGGTGATACTTACCGGTGAACTTTTTCTTTTTGATAGAGGCAAAAGAATGTCGGGAACCGTCTATTAAAATTTCTTATAATTTGATAATGCCTATGAACTTTGTCAAAATGTCCACTTTAAATGCATATAAAAATAATCGTGCCTATCTTTGATATTTTTGAACTGACATTAACTTATAACTTATAAGGAACCTTGTGTAAATTTACAAGAATTTTTCCTATATGAAAAAATTTCTCAAGGCTTATATATATTTCTGAAGGCTAAAAAAAAAGAGTGAAATTTGTTAGAGTTAAATTTTGATCGACTCTATAGTTGTTGTTCTACTACTGATGGAATTCGCGATTTTCCATCAGAAAACCACATAATTTGTAAAATCAATATATTCTTCGCTATAAATAAGTAACATAGTCATTCAATATAATGCTACTAAGTCGGTACTTGGAGGCTTTTTGTAAATGTAGTGGCCCTGAAAAGGGCCGTTTTATTGTCAGACATGGTAAAAAAGAATTATTTGGAGCTCGTGTATTTGGTGACGGCTTTGGTTCCTTCACTGACGGCGTGCTTGGCCAACTCGCCGGGCAACAAGAGTCGGACGGCGGTTTGGATTTCCCGGCTGGTGATGGTCGAACGTTTGTTGTAGTGAGCCAGACGACTGGATTCGGCGGCGATGCGCTCGAACAGGTCGTTGACGAAGCTGTTCATGATGCTCATGGCTTTGGACGAAACTCCGGTGTCGGGATGTACTTGTTTCAACACTTTGTAGATGTATATTGCGTACGATTCTTTCCTCTTGGGCTTGCGCTTCTTGTCGGACTTGGCGATGTTCTTCTGTGCCTTGCCGGACGACTTCTTCATTGCTTTACCCGCCGATTTTCCTCCTGGAGCCATTTCGAATAGTTGTATCTAGACTTGTTGACGACTGAAACGTTGTGAACTGAGTGATAATTTTTGCGTCATAGCGGTGGGTATATATCACCAAATCCAAACGACATGTCGTTCGTTTATTGGTGTATATACCATAACGATGACGATATAAATAGGATCGCCGATTAGTCCACAATAACTAAAAATAGGAGTTTCTCCACAAGCACGTTTCATGATTATGTCCAATGAAAACAACATCGTTTGGTGATGAAAGTCAACCAAACGTTGTGACGTAGTACCGTAGTGTCGTTATCGCTGTCCAATCACAGTATTTAGTTATCCACACTTTTACTATATATACGAAAATTTCAGGAGTAATTCTGCATCAGTCTTATTCAGTTTCAAATTTGAACCGTACCAAGCACTACTACAATCATGAGCGGACGCGGCAAGGCAGGAAAATCAAAGGGAGGCAAATCCAAGACCAGGTCGTCCCGCGCCGGACTCCAGTTCCCGGTCGGACGTATCCATCGTCTGTTGAGGAAAGGAAACTACGCCGAACGTGTCGGAGCCGGAGCACCGGTGTACCTGGCCGCCGTCATGGAGTACTTGGCAGCTGAAGTTTTGGAGTTGGCCGGTAACGCCGCCCGTGACAACAAGAAGTCTCGTATCATCCCCAGACATTTGCAATTGGCCATCAGGAACGACGAGGAGTTGAACAAATTGTTGTCCGGAGTAACCATCGCTCAAGGTGGTGTGTTGCCCAACATCCAAGCCGTGCTCTTGCCCAAGAAGACCGAGAAGAAGGCTTAACTCTGTTACCTTTACCCACCGAAACCACAGTTTAAAACGGCCCTTTTCAGGGCCACCAAAAATTAAAATAAGCAGTCCGTCCGATTATTTTTTCAGTAGATGCGATCACACTAGATATATAGTAAGTGTGTACTAGAGTAGCTTTTGTTGCGTTCAGATGGCACACGGCGAGTGTATACAGTCAAAGTGGAATCGCTTGAAATTTTTCAATCGAGACCGGGTACGGTTTTAAATTAAATATACATGGATAATAGAGATGTGAGCTCGGTAAACTTTTACCTACGTTAATGTAAATTAACCAATTATTTTTATTTAGGTTAATATTTTTTTACCAAAAAAATTGGCATGTGGCACCTCAAAGTAAACGGCTCACGGGGCCAATATTCATCAGCAATAACGTATTAACAAGATGGAATGGTGTACATTATATATAATGTAAAACGTCCACAACCAGCGATTATAGTGTAGTTTCTACACTGCGCTATACTACATAACATTAAACATACACCATACGAGTATCTGA